ATTTTTGTCCGATGTCGGGTGCGATGGGATGTTTGTCCGGCTTTCGGGGCCCGGGAACCAGAGGTGAACCCCACAACAGCGGGAGCGGGGTAGGGAGGGCGAGGAGGGAGCGGGCGCGGCCTCCAGCCACAAGGAGGACAGGGCGGTAAACAGAGGCACCTAGGCGGGGGTCAGACCGGGGGGTATTCCTCCACGCCACACAGCGCGAACTGGGGAACTTCGTTGCCGCAGGATCCTGTGGCTGCCGGCCGCTTCCCTGCCTTCAGAGGGCGCTTCGGCAAACGCGCGAAGGAAACATCCCCTCGGAGCTGCTACATTCGGATTTTAAAATCGCCTTTCATGAAAAAGTTTCAGACCCGCAGAGGGCTGGAAGCGCGTCCCGGCGGGAGTACCACCGCGGGCTGCTCCCGTTCCTGTGGGCTCCCTGGACACCCCCGTTGGCCGTCTCTGGAGGCAGGCCGCTGAGCGAGGCGGAGCCTGGGTCTGAGCCAGCCGAGGGGGTCTTACGCCCTTGGGATAGATGCGGCATCCCTCGTTGAGCCACTACACACGGAAGAAAACAAAACTAAAGCGTGTACCTGCCCACTGCCTCAAACCCCATTAGGAGCAGGGATGCTGAGTACTCCGCATGTGAAAAAAGAAAACCCAACTTCAGTTTCATGTTTCACAATATATAATTACAGATGGTGAAGTAATGCCAGATTTGTACGAAATGCAAGCCTATTTGATCCTAAAGGAAGAATCTATTTGCCCTTCAAGAAAGTGCTCTGAGAACCCTGTGTTTTTTCTGCATTGCAGATCTAGCCCCATAATTGCATCTTCTCGTGCTTCAACCTTACGCTGAAATACAATGCTGTCAGGAACGCTATTTCCTGGCTTTGCTGCAGTAGCAGTGCACTCAGTTTTTGGCATTACACTGCTTTTGCACTGGTGCCAAACCTCATGATAAATAATGTGTGTCAAACACAGCAAATAGCGCTCAATCTAGTATGGAAATAACAACGAACATATCTCAAAGCACAGCACTTCTCAATCTGATGAGCTGCCCCAGAAGCTAAAAAAGCAAAGATGAAGTATTTATAGGTATAGTCTTAGCCAAGTAGAATATTAAAAATACCATTCAGAAAGCAGTCATGGAGAAATATGATGCATTGTCACAAAGGAGGAAATTGGATGCATTATTTAACAAATAGTTTTCAAATACTCAAGCAGTGCTATTATAGGATAACAGAATACTACTACTGCAAGATAGATTTCCATTCATTCCTCTTTGTCCTGGTTTCGGCAGGGATAGAGTTAATTTCCTTCCCAGTAGCTGGTACAGTGCTGTGTTTTGGATTTAGGATGAGAACAATGTTGATAACACACCGATGTTTTAGTTGTTGCTAGGTAGTGCTTACACTAG